CCACTTGTCTCCCATTTGTCTCCCATTTGTTGCTGTTTGGGGTCGAGGCTGGTATAGTAGTAGTAGTAGTAGTAGTAGTAGCAGTAGTAGTAGTAGTAGTAGTAGTAGTAGTAGTAGTAGTACCCTCAGCCTACGCCCTAAATCGTTTAGGGTCCAAGTTTGGCCGTTGAAGCCCTACGCCACGTGGAAGGTGGCTGGTGGATTCTGCAAGAAGAACGGCATCAATGTCAATACGAAGCCCAAAGGCTCACCGTGGGGGCTTTGGCTTGTGCTCCTTTTTGAGGTGCTGACTCGAAGAATCGCGGGACTCTGAGTCGCTTGTATTTGGTGCTTCGTAAGCTTCTGGTGGGACTTCCCCTAGTCAAAGTCACTACTACTTGCAAGCTACTTCCGTCCAGCTCGCAGTCTCGGGTTGAACTGGGTTCTGGGCTTCATGGCTTAAGGTTGCCCTTAACGCTTGCGGGGGGGTTCTATGATGGCTCCTTTGGCTGCTTTGACGGGGCTGCTTGTCGTGTGAAGGTCCCACAGCGTTCAAGGTACCTGCTTGATAAAATCACCGGGTCTTGACGGAATGCCGTGCCCGAAAGCGAGTACAGAGCAAGCCAGTTAAGGCCTAAACCCCAGACCACTGGATCCCCTAAATGATAAGCTTTAAAGGGTAACAGCCTTTGCTGGCCACCCTAAACCCTAAACCCTAAACCCTACACCCTAAACCCTAAACCCTAAACCCTACACCCTACACCCTAAACCCTACACCCTAAACCCTAAACCCTAAACCCTCAACCCGACCTTGATGCGAGGCAGCTACAGCCGCGGCGAGATGAAGTCACCCAAGACATGCAAGCTTGGCAGCCCGCCTTAGCGTCCTAGGCTAGGGTTTTGGGCTTAGGGTTTAGGGTTTAGAGTTTTAGGGTCTAGGGTGTTTTGATAAATAGGGGTCTGAACAAGTAGATATGACACACATCCTTCATGGGTTCCTTTATGTGACTATGCCTTAAGGTACCTAAACATCCTATTCTAAGTATTGCGACTCCTAGTAGTAAGGCTCGGGCTCTAGGGCTAGTAACTTCCCTTTATCGTCATGGTATTGTTGAGTTGAAATACACCGTTTAGGGTTTATGGGGTTTTAGGGGTTAGGTGTTAGGTTTTTTTTGTGATTTTTAGAGGCCAGAACCAAACATCTCTGCAGTCGACCTAAACCGGCGCAGCACCTGCGGTCAACACGGCCAAACAAAGGCTTCGCGACAACCAGCAGCTGCAAAGATCCAGGGACCCCTGAAACCCAACCCCACATTAACATGCTAGAGCCTCCAACACAAAGTGTCTCGACCCTGGTGACCAAACCATGAAGTTAAACACCCTAAACCTTAAACCCTAAACCCCAAAACCCAAAACCCTAAACCCTGAACCCTACAACCCTAAACCCCTGAAGCCCAAGCCCCTGGAACTGACACTCTGGGGTTCGAAGCTACGGCTGTGAACACAGGACAGAAAGCAAGTCCGAATTCTCTTTGGGTACTTTCCTAATGAGGGTCGTGCCGTACTATATCTTATAAGGTTTAGGGTTGAGGGCTTAGGGACCTCAAAAGGGACCCTCATTTTAGAGAGCTACCCATATTGTCACTGCTCATATTCGTACTATGGATTTGTACACTTGTTCTTCTGTCAGGAGCGGTGTTTGTTTTCGCGAAAGCGAGGTGACTCCTTTGGCCCTGGAGCACAGCCAGCAGCTGGGCTCAGATCGACCGAAAGGCTTTTCAAGAGGGTCGACTTATAAGGGTGTATTTTTTCGAGTGGTGGAGCTTTGAGGGCTTGGTTGCTTGGCCAACGGAAGGCAGGACTATACAGGCATCTACAGTCTATAGTATGTCCTGACCCGTCGAATTCTCGTCGGTTGCAGCAAATGACGCTGTTCTTGGGGTCGCTGTTCGCTGTTCGAGTCTCTTGGTGGAGTGTTGCCTGAGAGTGTTTAAAGGGTTTTAGATTGCAATTGTTTTTGGAATTGAGATGTTTCGAAGTATGCGACGTGTATGGCTTTATTGGCTCTAGACGGGCTTAGGGGTTCGTTCAAAGCGGAGGATTAGGATCTAGGTCTTACGGCTAAAGTTCGAATTCGTGTGGACCCGTCTCGTCTGCGGCCTCGGTCGCATCGTCGAAGGTGCCCGTGTATGTACATACATGTAAAGTTTAAGAATATATGTATATGTACTTATATATGTATATATGTCTGTATATATGTACTTGTATAGTAAGTTGGCTCATGTTGATAGCTGCTGAAGAGCGCAGATCAGGACAACGGAAATCGCGATGTGACCGTTGTCATGTTGTCGGATGTGCAGCTTCCCTGGTGCCACAAGGATCCGACATTTCGAAAAACACTAGTCGCTTGCATTTGGAGTTCGGTTTTTGATCTTTTGGATTTGGGGGTTCGGGGTTGCAGCGGCGCTTGAAATATTGAGGCAGGTCTCAGCTGCTCATGCCTAAACCCAAAACCCTACATATACCTTACCCACAAGGCTGTCTCCTGACACTGCTTAAGCACAGCTTCCGCAGCATTGCCTTGTTCAGCCTACATGGACTCTCTGAATTAGGGTCCTATTCTCAGGCCGGAACGCCCCGCAGCCTCATGTAAAGAACGAACCCAACGCAACACCACGGCCCGCAGGAGGACTCCCGCATGGACATGCCATGCGCCCTAGAGGATAACTTTTACATGATCCAGGGCATCAAGGCAGCGTCGAAACGACCTAGAGACTCAAAATACCCTTAATTCATGCCTTAAATTGCAAAAGGAACCCTCATAAGAGTTAAGGTATATGCCTTAAGCAACGGGTCTTGGAGTCTTTGGGGAGTATGCTGCCAACTCTGCTGTGTGGGAGAGACTCTTATGGGCTTTGGTGGGGCTTTGTTTGGCGTAAGTTCGAGGGTTTAGGGTTTAGGGTTTAGGGTCCCAGCCCTGTACTCACCAGGAGTTTCAAACAACAACTTCCACGTACCCAAACCCTATAGGAGCCTAAACACTGGACCCTAGACCGTAAACCTTGAAAACAATGGCCCTAGTCCTTCAACCCTGAACCCAAACCCCAAAAAAAGCACCCGACGAAAGCCTTCACCTTGGTTGGTCAGGTTTGTGTAGGCGTCACAAGGCCTCAGGGTTCAGGGCTCAAGTAAAGGGACTTCGTTCTGTTGGGTTCTACCTCGAGTTTCCCTGCAACTTCGTAAGTTAGTTATGAGTAGTCTGTAAGCTTCTTTTGGGCTATGTCGCTTTTAGCCAGAACATGAGGAAAAGCCAGGGTTCCGTAGGGGCGTTGGGACTGCGAGTGAAGCCTGAACAGATCAAGACTTGGCAAAACCTTCCTGCTTTCTCTGCCCATAGGCCCCCGCAGTAGTTCCTTTTTGGAATTACTTGATAGGATCCTAGATATAAGCCATAAAAAAGGAACTACTTTGGGGCCTATGGGTGGGGTTACTATGGTGCAGGGTTTCGGGTCTGACAGGTCCGGAAGTATGGATGGGGAGGGGGCGGTGGGGGTGAAGAAGACTGAGCCGCCAAAAAACAAAACATTGAGCCAAAGCCGCTTGGAAACCCACAGTCCGCATCACCAGACCCAAATGGGAATTTCCGAAAATAAGGGGTTACCTTATTTTGGGGGGTCCTTCAAATCCTACCATTAAGGTACTATATTATGGTCCCCTATTTTCGGAAACCCCCAAATCCGAAAACCCTGAATGCGCGGCGTCAAAAATCCAAACCCCTTAAACCTTTCACTCTCTGGCGCAGCAGCGCGCCCCGATCTTCGGAAGTGTCCTAACTACCCCATTAAACCACAAACCCAAACTCATTCAAGAAGAAGCCAGGGAGTTGGGACATACTAAACCCTAAACCCTAAACAAGAAGCTCAGAAGGATTGTGTTGCCAAGCCAGAAAAGCGGGTCAGCAAGGAAGACTGGACCATCAGAGGTCAACCGACTGGGAGGTGGTCAGACTACCCTAAACCCTAAACCCTAAACGCTAAACCCTAAACCCTAAACCCTAAACCCCTAAACCAAGACCCCAAGACTTCAAGTCTCTAACCCATGTCGGGTTTAGGGCCAGTTTTCTGGGTTCTTGTTAAGGGAGTTAATTTAAGTTACCATAATAAGGAAACCATATTATTTACTATAGATCCTTATTGTGGTAACTTAAATTAAATCTCTTAACAAGAACCCAGTTTTAGGTTTAGGGCTCCAGCCCGCAGTTACGGTGTAGGGTTTGGGGTCCTGAACGCCATGCACAAGATTCCACAAGTAGCGAACGCAAGAAGGGATGAAAGAACAAAAAGCGTATCCCTGCAAGGGAAAAGCCCTAACCCTAAACCCTAAACCCCTAAACCCTAAACCTTAAACCCCAAATTATCAAGCCCTGAAGGCCCTCGAGAGTTTGTCATGGGTGGAGGGTGACGTGGACCCGGTGGCGACGCCCCTTGGAGTGCTCCTCGGATTACACTTGGCAGGCTTCGGGGTTTGATATCGTCGTTTCAGTAGATGTTCCTTGTTTTACAAGGGTCCTACAAGAAGCCCTAAACCCAGAGGTTCGTGTTTATAAGATGTTCTGGGATTTGTGCTAGTGCTTGGAGTTCCGGGTCCGGGATTCGGGCTCCAGGGTGTTTTGGTTGAGGGTTTAGGGTCTCGCTGTCTTTGCTGGATAGAATATCGAGGTTCAGTGTGCCGCAGTTCTTGTTCGATTCTATGGTGCCCCGTAGGGTTTTTGCTGCTGGAGTATTGCCGAAAGGAAACCATGACTCAAGACAACCGGACGGTCGGCGATTAGAAGCCTTTTCCAGGTTCTTCATGGTTGTAAAGAAACCTATAAACCGTAAGCCTTAGGCTTATAAGCCGCCTAAACCCTCAAACACTTGAACCTCTTGTTCCCAAAGCTAAGCCGTTCTACTGTGCCAGACATTGCTTGTTCCCCTAAACCCAAAACAACTCTGAGTGTTTTCTGGTTGAGGGTTTGATGAAGCTTCAGAAAGCTTTAGACCACTCGGCTTGCTCGCTTTCTTTTGCTTGCTGACCTGCCACTCAGACCTCCATGCAAAAGCGATGGTGAGGGTAGCGTACAGGGGTTACGGGTTTTCAGAGATTAGAGTCCTAGCAGTTCTGGACTTTAAGGGATTGCGAGTGTGGGGATTAAGGTTTGACGTCGGAGGTTCAGGGCTTTACATTCTACACCTGATGTACGCAATTCGAAAAGCCGTTCCCTCAAAGCTTCGAAACTCACTAAGCCTGAAGCCCAAATCCTAAACTCCTAGATCCTAAAGCCTCAGCCTTAAATGCTTTAAACACATTCGACCCACTAAACCACTGAACACCTGCAAAACTAGGGAGTTTCTTAACCCTAAACCTCATAAACCCTAAAGTTCCATTTCTATAAACTCGGAACCCTTTTCAGCCTAAAGCCTTAGCCTCAAAACCCTGAAAGCCCTAAGCCTTAACCCTAAAAGCCCACAAAGCCTGAAGCCTTGACCTTGAAAACCCTCAAAGCCCTAACGGTTTAGGGTTTAGGGTTCAGGGTTTAGGGTTTCAGGTTTAGGGTCTAGGGGACCCTCAAAGCCTTGAGGTTCATCGCCGGCGATCTGACGGCTTTCGGCTCGAGAAATCAGTGCCTCAAGGGGGGGAGAGTTTCGGGATTTGAAGGGGGCTTTAGGGTTTAGGGTCGAGGATTTAGGGCTTCGGGCTTAGAGTTTGGAGGATACTGCCCGGACTCAGTAAGAGTTGGATAACACTTATAAACAAGCCATATACGGCCCTTAAGAATAGTTCTATTATATTTAGATTGTCACTTTTTGGGGGCAGTACTCAAGATTTAATGCTTATACCGTAAAATGTTTGAGACTTAGAGCTTAGGGTTCTGGGTGTATAGGGTTTAAAGTTTAGATTGAACGTTTAGGGCCTTTTTATGACTAGAATAGGGTCTTGGGGTGAGATTATAGTAGTGTGATAATACAAGGATTACAAAGCAACAGTTGTAACTAGCAGTCATTGTTCCGACTTCTACATTACGGTTTTGTCGGGCTTGTATGAGGTCACCCTGCCAGGGTTCTATGAGGGGACCATAAGCGGCTTGTACGAGAGGTTTGACCTAGGTTTAGGTGGTGCTGGTTATAAATTGGGTGTTAGGCTTGTGCTTCAGGTTCTCTGTGTTCTTGGCTATGAGTATGCGTTCTGGGACGTCATAGGTTTGCGGGCGTAGGAGCTAGGACGTCGGGTCTGGTGTAGAGTGTGGCATGCAGTTTAGGGATGTTAGGAGCACCCTGTCTGCCCACACCCTGCAACCCTAAGCCCTAAGCCTTCAATGCCGTAAGCCCTAAACCCCTAAGCCCTGAACCCCACAAACCTCCAACCCCTATCATTCGCCTCGCCTGGATTGTCCGAGTGTGAGAGCCGAAACCCTTAGCTCCTATATAAGCCCGAAGCCCCACACCCTCCAACCGTTAAACCTCAAAGGTGCATACCCTATCCCTAAACCCTAAACCCTTAAGCCTAACCCCCCGCCCCGAAAGGTACATAACCTATCGGAAGCTCTGGGAGACGCGGGACGACGAGAGCTCCAACAAGAACAACAAGCCCCTCGTGATGAACTGCCGGGATTCAAGGCTTTTTGGGTAGGGTTTAGGGTTTAGACAAAGGGATTTTTAGGGTTTTCGGGTTTAGGGAGTTGTAGGGTTTAGAGAGACAAAGGGGGATTGGCAGTTGGGATTTTGCAGAGTTTCTGATCCAACACAGAGGTTTGGATGCTAATTAGTCAGAGCACTCCCTTGCAGTCCCTGTATACGCCTACCGCTGTGCATCCCTAACCCGATTCTACCTTCTCCCCCTCAACAGTAAGTCCCGTGGAAGCATCACAAAGCCCGGAAAGTCCGTTCAGCGTACCGGGCTCTGGCAACAGAGAGGATCTGTGAACAAGTCTCGCCCATACTGCTGAAACCCTGCAGCCAATAGCCTTCACGTGCTCAAACCCTAGAACAAACAAAGAGCCTGAGCCCTAAACTCTAAGACCCTAAGCCCTAGAAAAAACAAAGAGCCTTAACCCTAAACCCTAGAACACTAAAGCCTGAATCTCCAGACTGGGTACCCGCGCGCCTGGAGTCACGAAGCAGTCGGGTCGGTGTGCACAGGTTTACGCTACTACAGGTCGGAAGAATCGACAGTAGTCCGCTATGATGGCCCCTATGTGTGTAATGGGTTTAGGGTTTAGGGTTTGGGGAGTCCCTGCCCTCGAGCATCTTGCCGGCAGACAATCCAAGCCCGTGCTCAAAAAAAAGGATTGAGGCTGGCACACAATCCAAGCCCATGCTGAAAAGGGTTGAGACTAGGCTTGAGGCACGGCACA